TAATAAATGCATATATGAATATGAAGAGGAAGAAGAGTTTATAATAGCTTGGAACAATATGCTTGAGAAATATGATCTTAAAGACAATAGTTGGTTGAAACAGACTTTTGCTTTAAAGGAGAAATGGGCATTAGTTTATGGTCGAGAGAACTTTTGTGCAGACATGACTACCACACAACGAAATGAGAGTATGAATAATGTAATTAAAAAATATGTGAATTATCAACATGATTTACTAAGATTTTTTCATCATTTTCAGAGAATGGTAGAGGATCGTCGATATGAGGAATCAAAGGCATATTTTAAAGCAACCCAAAGAAGTTTAATTCTGTCATTTGATGTGGAAATTCTACGGCATGCGGCAACAATTTATACTCCTGCAATATTTAAGATGATCCAACACGAGGTATCAAGTGGTTATGATTGTAGTATGTATATTTCCTCTCAAAATGGGGAAGTTACTGAATATAAAGTTACCTCATATAAGAAGTTATTTCAACATATTGTCCATTATGACTCCTCTATTGGTTCAGTGAAGTGTAGTTGTAAAAGGTATGAGTTTGCAGGGATTTTATGCTCAACATACAAAAAATATCACTATAAGTATAATATATGTAGGTATACATAACCCCAAGCGTGTGGTTCAGCGGTAGGAGTTGATTCACACTTAAGCAAGGTCAGGAGTTCGAATCCTACCTTGTGTATGCAGTCGCGTTAAATCTTGGGGTCAGCTATCCCACCCTTTGAGGTGCCTCCAACGAGAAAATTAGTCACTGCTATCGACCTTGGATACTCTAGAAACAACCAAAAAAAAAAATATGTAGGTGTACATCTATTTGACATTTAGCTACATATAGATTTAGTGATGATTTTGAATGAGATTTAACAACATATGTTATATGTCATTAGAGCTTATATCCATTCTTTTTAACAATATACTAATATATATTGTATTTATTGTGTGAGTAAAAATAATTTTTAATAATACATATTGTATCCCTATAAGGTATGTCTCACTATATGATAATTTTCTTGTAGTGTTAGTTTCACACGTTCTCACATAAATAATTTTTTGAAAATCATCCTCAAGAAACAATATGTTCTAGAAATGTTATTTTTTATATAACAAACTAAATCTGTAAAAACTAACATTTTTTATCTCAAATTTTTAGAAAAGTTAAACTTTTTCATGTATCAAATGTCTAAACTACACAAATACTAAACTTATGTTTTTATATGTAAAAATTATTAATTAGTATCGGTCATTATTAACACAAAATTAAAAAAAAAAATAAGTATTTTAAATAATGTCGACCAAATCAATAAAAAAATATTTATATAAAATAACAATAATTTTGAAAAACCAACTTAAGCATATTGACCAAGCCGATGCAAATGTATATATCTTTTAAATGTCTTTCATGATATTAAAAATATATATATACTATTAAACATGGCTAAGCCCTAGAAAATACAAAATTAAAATATATTTTCTTTTAAATAGCGTTGGCCAAGCCAATACAAAATATAAAAATTATTAAAATAAAACTTCAGCGCTAGCTATGCTGACGTAAATGCAAATATCTTATAAACGGATTAAAATCTTTTGTTTCCAACTCCTGTCCCCAAACTCTGTTCTTCCAAGCATAAAATGTCATCTAGATTACTACATCATTATTTTTATTTTTTATTTTTATTTTTAAAAAATGTAACTGATTCTGTTACGTTTTTTCTCTCACGCCATCTCGCCGCAATGTTCTTCGTAAAAAATGCTTTATTTTTATCAAAATTACTAGCATGCCACTGCGGATGAAAATATAGCTTGATTTTATGGGTAGCATAGCGTTTGAGTTCTACCCAACCAAAAAGTGCCAAAAAAGAAAAAGAAAAGAAAAGAAAACAATTCAAGGGAAAGGAATAAACTTTGCCACGTACACTACATGATGAAAATCTGAGATACTGTTATATTAACAAAATTTTTATTTTGTTAAATAGTTATATTTTTTTCAGATATATTTTATTTCTAAGAAAATATCTATTTTTATTTTATAATTTCAGGAATACAATTCACATAAATATTATAAATAGGAAAATCATTAAAGAAAGAGAGAATGGAAAGAGTAAAGTGAAAGGGGGAAAGGCACGAGTAAGAGAAAAGAGGTCTCACAAAATTCAAACGGTCACGCCACGTGTCAACCAGGGGACACACCTGACCACGTATTAAATAAGACCCATTATGACAAAAGGAGCCATCATTACATAACCGTCACACCCATTAACGCGCTGGCCTCGGTTACCGAAATAAAAAATGACAATTATGACACATGACACCTCAACAAGCAGGCGTATGCGAGAAGTCACGGCCACTCGGCGAGCTCGGTCCCAACTCCTCGACCTACGGTCTTCAGAGCTCGGGGGGCTAGTGTATTATCCGTACTCCGAAGCCGAGCTCCGAGCTCGGCGCCACAGCACGGGCTGACCTCAGATACGTACTGCGCGACGTCAGCTCGATACTCATGTAGATCATAATTGATCTCAGGAGATCTCGATCCTGACGAGATCCCTGCCTAATCAGATCATAACTAATCTCGGGCCCAAAAGCCCAACGCAGCCCTAATTCACACTAAGGTACGTGCATTATTTATACGAGACTCATACTCATACAAACCCTAACTTTAGCATTGGAGTCTCTTTTGCAGGTACCACCCCCACCGTGGAACACCAGCGTACCAGTGAAGGAGGCTCACCGATCTTACCTAGCGGATCATCTCTACAGCAGATCTCCGATAAAAACACTACCAAATCAGGATAAAAGAGAAAATTGGCATGTCCGTCCTTAATATGAAGAGTGTGTTTATCCCAAAACAGTCATCATTTTACAAATCAATTTTGTAAAAATAAGATATATCTAACCCACATTTCTAACATTAACAACATTAAAAAAATCAAAGATTACCAAATCATGATAAAAGAAAAAAAAAACTTTTAACACATATCTATGTGGACATATCTTGCCACAAAATATTCCACGAGGTTTAAATTAATCATAATAAAAGGTCCTCTCAAAATATTATTCAACCAATATCAATCCTAGTATAGGTCACAACAGGTAAGTGTGAAAATATTACAATACAAGTTTGCTACACTTCAATTATGAGATCCCAATTTCTTCAGTCAACTCTTGTAATTTTGTTTTCCTGAAAAATATTAAATAATGTGTCAGTGTCAAGATAATTAAACCATGACTATCGCTATACAAGGTTCAATGACAGCTTTATAGGAGAAGAAATCACAACTAAACTTCTTACCTATTATGATAGTGTAATCACAGTGTAAGCAAAACTACCAAAATTTTAGTAAGTTTATCAACACTATTAATGTTTGACCCTTGAGAATGTATTCTTAATTCTTAAAGACATGCATTTTTAATATACTCAGCACCACCTTGTACATATTCAATAATGATTCACTTATATAACAGTGACTAACTAGGTTATCTTTACAATGTAATAAATTATCATAATATAACAATAAGTAAATAACAACACTTAATATTCATCTGACTTCAAAGTTGTACCTTCAAAAGTGGATCAGACTATTGCAATTCTGTGATCTACAGTAACAAGTAATATTCCGAACCCTGAAATAATTTCTCTTGGAGGACCTATAATCATAACTCAGCTCTCTACCAGCAGGAATGTCCTTAACTGCAAACAGCACCTTATATGGAAGGTTCTTATCACTGTGATCATTTGTAACATCCTTGACAATGAGATTAGGAGAACAACTGTGATTTATAAATCTTCCAATGTTC